CCCCAAAACCCCAAAACCCCTTAACACCCAATTTACATGCAATATTACAAAGATGAATTATTGAAAGTTATATTAATATATTTGTGGTAAAAAATGAAAGTAGCTAGATAGATCTAAAGATTTTTGAAAGTAGAAAATTTATCTATTCCAAATTAATTGAAATTTATGAGATTAAGTCTCTAAAACAACCTCCTCTTTGCTCAATAAAAAAGATACCTTAATTAGAGAGTTAATCAAAACGAAAATTTTACTAAACAAGAAGATCAATAGCAAAATCTAAGTGAATAATAGGAAGACCCTGAAATAGTTAATGAGGATGAAGATGATCAAGATGATTATGAAAAGATTCTTCAACAAGAATCATTGGATGTAGATTCAATCAATGAAAAGATTAGGCTATTTTTTAGGTCAAAGCAGAGAAATTATGAGGACTTTGATCTTATTTTGCATCAAATTTAGATGAACGCGATGCAGAGTTAAGACATTTCAGGACCGGGCTCAAGCGAATTATTTGATGAATTCAATGAAATAGCCAAGATTTTCAAAGAGAGGTGTGAGAGAAAGGATTTCGCTACAATCAAATATGTGATATATCTACAGTTCGGAGGAATCGTGCTCAACAACTAAGCAATAGTTGATGATCTTGTTAGATATGGATTTGATTTCCTATATCCCAAACTCCAATGGATAGATAAAGTTATCAGTATGGAATCTGCTTAAGCAATATCCGCCCCATATATGAGTAATATGATTGATAAAATTTGCTGTGAAATACTGTTCTAAGATTACAATGATTTCATCGGTGATATTAGTCTGCCTAATTTGATACAGTTGATGACTATATTTCACACCTAGAAGTATTAAAGATAAGAGCTTTGGAATAAGTTTGAAGTATGCTTAGCTTATCTCTATGAATTATCAATGGAGGAAATGGAAAAATCAGATTAAAAGGAACCAACATTCACTAAAGACGACATATTCGTTGTTTTGAAGTTATTAGTAGATAGAAAAATTGTGAATAGTGAAATTACTGAAGGAATATTTAAGGATGTAGAATTTGGTTTATAAAACAATGAGTTTAACTTGAAAGAAATACTATTGCTCTAAGATTCTTATTACAAGCTTGGAGCATTCTAAGATGAACATCAGCAAGCTATTGCTGATTACATATTAGAATAAAAATACGTGCTTGCTGACTTTTAAGAATTAAAACTTAATGAGAATCTTAGACTCTTTAGAGGACTTTTCAGTTAAAATAAACTAACTTCTTTGAAATACAAGTAAATTCATCAAATTTATGAAGAGATTGTGAAGAATAATCAGGCAAATTTAAACCTCAGCACCTGGTTGACTGTGATTGAGACCTGCAGATTTTCAGAGACTCATTTAGATTAATTACTCGAATATGCCAAAAAATAATATCTAAAAAACTATTCTGACGAATACTTTGAGACCTCAAGAGATGGAGTCAGCACTTTAGATACTTAAACAAGTCACAGAAGATCTGAACTTTTCAAAAAGAAGCCCAAGAGTGTCTTAGTAAACAAGAGAGAATTTGATGTGTGATATTTATTGATAAATCTATCAAAGACTTATTTAAGACACTTGATTGCATGCTACAAAATTAATTAACTTTAATAACTATTTCAGATCACAAAAACAAGCATATTGCCATTATTTAGTTTCAAGGGGTTTTGGGGTTTTGGGGTTTTGGGG